TTGATATTACAAGTTTACCTAAAATCTTTTTTTTTTTTTTTGACTGATTAATCCAAAAGAATGTGAAAGATGGATGTTCCTAAATATTATTATTATTATTGTATTTAATTTCAATCATATATTTATTTCGAACTACACTAGATTAAGATTGGATGGTACGCATGCCTGCAAATCGAGCTTATTGCCAAGCTAGCTATTTCTTCAGGGGCATTTTCTTCTCTTATACACTGTTGATTTTTTTATTATTATTATTATTAATACAAGTATTCAGATTATTTTTTTATACCTCAATTAATTTTATAAATTTTAAATGAGAGTGCTATGTATATATATATATATATATATATGTTTTTTTTGGATTGATGTGGGGTGTCCGGGCCAGCTTACGCACATCACGACTAATCATCACGACCCACTAAACATCGTGCAAGCCTAGTGAGCAGGTAAGGTACCGCGGGAGTGACAGGCGTGCATGATAAAACTCGAATCCAGGTACGAAAGAAAGGAATAAGCCCCTCCCACTACTGAGTTAGAACCTTACTTGCAATATATATATATATATATGTTGCTTATACAGAATGATGTCTGCCAGTGGTTCTTCTTAACTCGATGTGAATTCTTGAGGTGTACTGATATGGATCTGTGAGGATATAAAAACACGGATCGATAATGTGATTGTGTTTGATATTACAAGTTTACCTAAAATTTTTTTTTTTCTTTTTCTTGACTGATTAATCCAAAAGAATGTGAAAGATGGATGTTCCTAAATATTATTATTATTATTATTGTATTTAATTTCAATCATATATTTATTTCGAACTACACTAGATTAAGATTGGATGGTACGCATGCCTGCAAATCGAGCTTATTGCCAAGCTAGCTATTTCTTCAGGGGCATTTTCTTCTCTTATACACTGTTGATTTTTTTATTATTATTATTATTAATACGAGTATTCAGATTATTTTTTTATACCTTGGTTAATTTTATAAGTTTTAAAATTAATAAATATATAACTTTTTAGTGGTTCTAGAAAAGCTTGATCTCATCATCATTAAAAAATAAATACAAAATCTAATAGTTATCATTCATTATTTATACAATGTTATTTTTATTTCCATTATTTATACAATGTTATTTTTATTTCCAAACTATATATATATAAAAGTTGATGCCTTGCTTGCTTTTAACTTATTCCTTGATAACAAGATAGGAAAAAAAATATTCCCTGATAATGGTGTGTTAAATTAATTTCCCTATGTAACCTAAATTCATGAATATATGGTGTGCTTGGAACCAAAAAAAGAAGAGTGGCCAAGAAATTGCATGTCCATGCAATTAAAAATGGTCATGGAAAAAAAAATGGTCATGGAATCAGATCACAAAAAAATAATTTGATGCCAAGACAAGCAATAGTAAACCCACTAAGAGAGGAAGATGGAGATGATGACATCCTAACCACAGCCCCATCTTTGCTTTTAATTAGAGTCCTCATCTTTCGTTGTTGCCTCTTAAGATGGAAAAGATGTTTCTTTGGCAAATCCCCAAAACACCTTCCAACCCCTTTGGTTTATACCAAGTTTATCCCCAAACAAACAATTTTGATTTCTCAATTTTAGTTTTTTGTTTTATTTTAGGGTTTGTTAAAAGATAATGCTAAATTTTTTATAAGATGGGATCTTTTTAAGTATGATTTAATTAAGATTCATGCTCAAATATAAATATAATATAATATAATATTTAGATAGTATTTGGTGTTGTGGTAATTGTTGTTTTTCAAAATATGTCAAATATAAATATAATATTTAGATAGTATTTGATGTTGTGGTAATTGTTGTTTTTCAAAATATTTTTTTTTTAATATATCAAAATCATATATTTTTATTTTTTAATTTATTTTTGACACCAATACATTAAAACAATTTAAAATTATTTTAAAACAAAAAAAATCAAAGATTTTCAAAAGCACTTTTTTAAAAGAAAAAAATATGTTCTCCAAATATTAAGTATATATTTAAAAAGAAAATAGTTGAAGACATATTTAAAGGAAACAAAGAGATTTGGAAAAAGAAATTACTATGTTTTCTTCTGGTCAAGGATGAAATAATTCAGATTGATGGTTAAAGAAGGAGCTTCCCTTTAAGCCATCTTTCCAACCATCAAGTTGCTTGCTTCTATTTAGAACATATGGACACACAGAAATTCCTCAAAATTCATGACGATGCATCCATCATCAAAATATCAAATAGCTCTTCGATTTGACTAAAAAACACGCTCAAGTAATAAAATAACAACTCATTGCATATTTATTAATGTAATACATAAATAAAAGAAGCTCTAGCAACTATAAATAGGCATGCATGTGACCCCCTTGGAATTACAAATCCTAAGAAGAGACAATTTTGAAGTGAAAAAAGAAATGGATGTGGAATCGTCAAAAGTTGCTGCAATGAAAGCTGAATCTCCTAAGAAACACAAACGCAGAAACATTTGTTTGGGGGTGACCGCAGCTGTGATCCTCTTTATTTTTCTGCTTTCGTTCATCTTGGGGTTAACGGTGTTCAAGCCTAAACAACCGACAACCACCGTGGATTCCACCTCCATCAGTGACATGAAGGTTTCTTTTGACATAGCCAGGCTAAGAGTGGATGTAAACGTGAGTCTTGACGTGGACCTCTCTATCAAGAATCCGAACAAGGTGAGTGTCAAGTACAAGAACAGCTCTGCTTTTCTGAATTATAGAGGCCAAGTTGTTGGTGAAGCTCCAATTCCTGCGGGTAAGATTTTAGCAGACAAAACACAACCCATAAACGTAACTGTTACACTTATGGCAGATCGGTTGTTGTCTGATTCGCAGCTTTTTTCTGATGTCATGGCTGGTGCTATACCCTTTAATACCTTGACCAAGATTTCTGGAAAAGCTAGCATTTTTAATCTGTTTAATGTGCATATCACTTCTACCAGTAGTTGTGATCTTCTTGTTTTTGTTTCTAATAGAACTATAGGGGATCAAAAGTGCAAGTATAAGACAAAATTGTAGGAACCCTTCTGTTCTTTTCTTTCCTCTCTCTTGTTTCTTGTTTTAGATTATACTGCTAGTTTTTCTCTTTCTTTTTGTGTTACTAGTTCTTGTTGATTTTGATTGAGATGATTATGTATTAATAGAGCAACATCATATTGTGATGCTGATTGCTGTTGGATTGGCCAGATGCAGACATGATTCTTGATTGCGTTTTATGTTTGTTTATGGCAAGGTATTGAAAGCAATTACATGTCTTTTCACACTCGCACCTATTTGCAGCTTTCTGGAGAAGCCTTGTTCATGATTTTTTGTTTCTTTTCCCAATATGGTGTTTTGTATGGATTCATAATTTGCAAAGCTTCAAGACTGATCAGGTACTGCAAGTTTATGAGACTACAATTAGAGAGGTGTTTTGTTTCTCCAGCTATGTTGGGGATAAATTGCCCCGCATGATTCAATCCTGTGCTAATTGAAGCAAAAACTCTTCATCTTCAAGCTTCTTTGTGACATCAGATTTTCTGATTTCACCGACTTCTAATTTCATGTTGACTTGTTTTGCTTTTCTATTGCAAAATGTCGTCTCTTATTCTTTTATGTCGAAACAGCTTGCTACTGAGGGTTTCTGATTTAGTATTCTAGTCAAATCAGTTTTGTTGCACTTTATAGCTGTACCATGTTTATTAGACTTTCCCCATTTCTGAAGGAAAGAGTTTTAACCATCCAAGTGAATTTGAAACACTCCACAGGACATGAAAATGTCCAATCTCTCAATGTTAAGGTCATGAGAAATCTGATGGATTGTCTGGTGTCTCAAAGGCAGCAGTTGCTCAGCTCAAACTAGTTACTCCTATGTTTGTCTCTTTACAACTGAGTTGAACATTTAGCTTGTGATAGCAGGATATCAGAATCATATGCATCTACTAGTGTGATCTCCTTGGTATCTTACATTCATTGTGATTTGCTTTCAGAAAATGAAATTTGGCCAGTTGGTCTGTTTTCTTCTGAGAATTCTGATTTACTTTTATGGGCAAGATGATATCAAGATCAAAGCAGTCGTAGTAATATTCTTTTTCTATGATTGCTGGATTATGATTTACCATCGAGATAAATGGTGGCTTTGGGGGTTAAAACTAACAGATAATTCAGAAACCCAGGGGTTCCATGCTGCTATAACACTCAGCCTATGCCTATGCTTTTGCATCTCCAGACGATAAGGCGTGCAAACCTCAGCAAGTCGTGCTCTTTGCGTGTGTAATTTGTTGAGAGCAAAGCATTGACCCAATCAACATTTATTCTGGAGCCACACATGTCACAGATTTAGGAAGCCTTTGACATATTGTTCACGCCAAGCAATTGCAATTAAGAGTTAGTTGGAAGCTGAAGTGTCCATGTTCATGTGAGCATTTGATTACACAGTACGATCCAACTGCTGAAACCATGCCCACGTGTAACTGTTCATCCGTAAGACATCTTCCAGCCTTCATGGCCCAACTCTTGCTTAATTTCAGTATATGAATTGCAAAGCGGGAATCTTCATTGCTTGTTTGGTTCTTTCACTTTCACTTCATCATCAAGCAATTAACAAAGGCCTCCTCAAGGGGGGCCCTTCTTCTGAAGTCGTTTCCTGGAGGTGGCAGCGACAAACTACTTCAACAGCATGATCAACGAATAATTGTGACTTGATAAAATGGTTTTAAAAACAGAATTGTAGTGAGTGTTACGGCATCAGATTAGTGAACTTAACCCCCTTGCACGAAAGCTGCTGAGCTCATGCATCTCTTCTTTTTATTACACTACATGCAACCGATAGCCATCTCGTGAAGAGAACTACTACAAACTTTTTGGGTGTGAAGATCTCCCTTCTTGATTTGTTTGATTCTCTTAACGTTATGGATCATGGTGTGAAAACAAATCGAACTGGTAATTAAATGAGAAGATACTTCATTTAAAGGCCATATAAGGATAATTATGACCAACATTTGGTAGAGGTTAGAGGGGCAAATTTAAGCCAAACAAGTTCTTCCATTCGTAAAAGTAAGAAAAGAAAAGATTGTCTGGGACTCTGGGGCGATGATGGTGGGAAATTCTTAAAAGCCTCCAACCCCCAACACCCTGTTAGGTAGCTGGCACATCCATGCATTTATACCTCCTCCTCCCCACCTGTCCTGTTTGTGGCCTGTATATAACCCTGTGGATTCCCTATATGTCCCTCGTCCTCCTTCAGAATCTCGATGACTAACCAAACCCTATAGGCATCGATGACAGAAACCAACGACCAAGGACGTGATCCTAAGGGTAGAAGAAGGTGTTTCGTTGTTGGTGGGGTGATTCTCCTCTTGCAGTTGCTGCTATTCATTATTTTTCTTATCCTAGCATTGACAGTCTTCAAGCCTAAAGCGCCCCAAACCCAGCTGCTATCAGCTACCCTCGAAGGCATCTCTCCTCGCATCTCATTCCCTGTTGTTAATATCCAACTTAACATCACCCTCAACCTAACGCTCCTCGTCAAGAATCCTAACCATGTCAGCTTCAAGCACGGGCCCGGAAAGAGCTACCTTCTATATCGAGGCGATGAGGTGGGAGATGCTGACCTGTACCCGGGCCTGATACCCTCTAAGGGCACCGAGACACTTCCATCCCGGCTTACTATACAGGTGGATCAGATGGCAGCTGATATGTCAGCTTTAATCAGCGATGTTCTAGCCGGACAGATTGTTCTGGAAACACGCACTAGAATTCCAGGCAGGGCCACCTTCCTGAAGATATTCAAAAAGCATGCCGTCGCTACATCTGATTGTCGATTCACTATTGATATTCCTTCCCTAAAGATTCAAAGCCAGGAATGCAAGAACAAGACTAAATTTTGATTAAATCGACTAAAGCATGCATCCCCACCACGCTTCTTCAGTTTCGCCTTGCGCACCATATACGTAGGAAACAGTAAGCAAGCTGGTCGGTTAGTTCTTCTTTTCATCAGTTTCAATCGTTTCAGAGAAAGCAAATCCATTATTAGGGTGCTGCGTATATTCTGTGTTTCTCTCAGCCACTTCTAGAGAGTAGGGAGTAGAGGCTGGAAAAACATCTGTATATTGTAATCATCTGCAAACACAACTACTGCTATTTTATTTTCATTTTTGCTACTAATGGTTACGCAATTCGATGTCTCTCCACACATTGAGCAGTTTGAACTAGTATTTAGCAATTATTGTTAACATGCAAACTTTTTTCAATCACCAGTCTTATCACAACAATTCTTGGTTAGAAATAAGCATCTCATTCAATTTTAAATAGTAGTAAGTGATGCCGAGTTTCAGCGAAGTTCATTTTTTGAAGAGGCGAAACCATAAATTGGTGAAATACAAAAAGTAGAAGGATATCCTAATCACGATGGTGCTACATCGCAGCATAATAGCATTTTTGTTTCGTACTTTCTAACGTTTTGATGTAATTTTACATCTACTTCGAGAAATCAGAGAAGCTGATCAAAGACTGGATCTCAGAGGAAAGAGAAAATTAATAAAGTAGCTTATTAATGCACAGGTGCTAAAAAGTATACCAATGAGCCCGTAGTTCAGTTGTACCATTGCACAAGCAAGAGCAATGAGGATGCAGGTTGAAGTTCTATCTTTGTCAATCCAACCTTAATAAATAAAGTTCTTAAAAATGAGGCATTTCTTCATTTACTATCCCTCCTTCATTTCATATCTTGCCTAAAAAATGACCCTGAACAGGCATGTAATGCTTTTGCACCATTATCAGCAAATGTTAATTTAACTCCAAATAAGACAAGAAGGCATTCTTTTTTATTAATTTCAACAATTCACATTATGAGATACAAACATAATGAACTCCCATGGGTAGAGTCATAAGAAAAAAAAAGTACACTTGTCGCTACAGTTGCTCATTTCCAAAAGTAAGTACGCGTCAAGAATTCCTATACAATGCTACAACTACATTGTGATCTTTGTCCGGAAAATCATCCTAGTTAAATAATATCTGTATAGACCACAAGTTATGACTTAAGAGGCACATATGTCAACAGCTTTCATACAAAATACATTATGAAATCTTATAAAATTAGTTGGCAGCACTGCATCCTACTCAGATCAGATAAGCACAAGCAAATCACCTTTAGAATTCAAGCTTTCTACATAATCCCAAATCAATAATCCTAGATTTACCTTTTCGCTTCAGAGGAGCGGCGGGACAAGTATCAGGAACTCCGGTTAGAATAGGAGCTGCAGGAGGTGTTGTGCAGTCATCAGAATCCCATTCTAATTTTTTCATTTCTTCAAGCGCGCCCTCAGTCTGCTTCGAAACAATAGCTTCCAATAAACTTTCATACACCGATTCAAACATCTCTTCATCCGATAAGAACTCCACATCATCACCAAAACTCCCATTTCTCAAGGCTCTGAAAGAAGAAGTAAAATTAAGCCGGCGCACAACACTGGCCCTCGCTTCATCATTGTATTTCTTGCACTGAGGAGCCAGGATTTTGTCTTCGTGGCCAGGAGCAAAAGGGTCAAAAACACCATCCTTGGGTGTTCTTGGGCTGCTAAAGTTGTCAAAATGGTCCTCACTTCTGTTCGTTTTAGAGGCAAAGGAGAGAACTTTGGGCAGTTTTTTAACTAAAGTGACTGGAGAGAGTGGGAAATCCCCAGTCTCTTTGATAGAATCAGGGGTGATAGGACCTAGATATACCTGAACAATGGCCTTGCTAGCTTGCTCATCTAGGGTTTTGTTTGTTTGGTCCGTACAAGATTCAGAATCCATGGTAATCAAACAGCAAATGAGATATCTGTAAGAAAGAGCAAAAACAATCAATGACAACAACTACCCCTAATCAGCTAATAATCCAAAGAAAAGTTTGCTTCACAGCTACTAATGAAAACCCTAATTCACTAAAACAATAACCAGTAAACTATCTTCCAAATCCTAATTAAAACCCTAAATAAACAAGGTTTTCACAAGCACTAGCGTCAGTTATTTTCTGTGAGAGGGGAGAGAGAAATGTATGAATAGCAGCGGAACGTGTAGTAGATTAGAAATCGGAATCTTGACGTAAGGGCTTACCTGACTTGGAAAGAGAAAAATGTATGATTTTTGCAGCGGAGGGGGGGCCAGTTGAGAACGTAGAAGAAGAGAGAGGCAGGAAAACGGCAGCGTTTTTTTTCACTCAGTCACTTGTTTTCGCGTTTCGACGAGGGGAGGGCTTGTTGTAGAGAAAGAAAAATATGTTAGGGTTGGGTTGAGCTTGAGTTTTAGTTTGGAGTTGGAGTTGGAGTTGGGAGTCCAGTTATGTGCGCGTGGGAATCTAGGACTAGATGATGTTGGGTTGTAGTTATTCTGTGTTTTTTGAAAAAAATATTAAAAAAAAATTATTTATTTTTTATTTTTTAATTATTTTGTTATGCTATATTAATAATAAATTTTAAAAAGTTAAAAAAATATTATTTTAATATATTTAAAAAATACTTTAAAAAATAATTTTTATTACATTTTCAAACCCTATTCCAAGCATAGGGCTGAAAGTAGCTATAACATAAAAAATTAATTTAAAATTAATAATAATGACAAGAATTCACTTTAATTTATGATTTGTTTTTAGGAGTATAATTATTATATATAATAAAATACTAGATTTCATGTCTATGCTTTGCTACATGTTAGATAATTTTTTCTATATAAAAAAATATCTTGGTAAAAAAATCTAAAACACTGGTAATTATCTTAATTAATAATTTAAATACAATGAACAAAAAAGAATACAATAATAATAAATAAACTAATAAAAAGAAAACAAAAAAAAATCATAATCCATTTAGATTATCAAATAACTTAACGTTAAAAGGTAAAACTATAAAATAAAAATAATATAAAAAAACATAAAGAAAAGGTCTTATTAACCTTGCAAAGTTCGTGATCATAAATACAAAATTAGAATAATCTTGTAGGAAAAAAAAACTTGAATGATGAATTTAAAATAAATTAATTAAAAAAATCAATATAGGTTAAATTTTGAAACTGATTATTCTTGCCATAAACTCAAAACTTAACTTATAAAAAACAAACCATAAAAAATAACAAAGTAAAACTCTAAAAAAAAAAGAATAAAGAAATAAGAAACATCAATTGATATATATATAAATAAAACAAACCTACTAAACATTACTTAGACTTTAAAACTCGTAACCCATAAAATATGAAATTTAAGTTCAATCAAGGAACTTAATTCTAACATGATTTAATTTTGAAGAATAAAATTATAAAAAAATATCAATTAAAAAAACTTGTCATAGCAAATAAAATATAGCAACAAAAAGAATGGGGATAAAACTTGATAGAAAAAAACCCCAAGAATGATGAAATTGTAAAAAAATAATTTAAAAATGACCTCAATTAAAACAAATAATAATCCAAAGAATAAAAATCAAATGTAAAAAATTAAAAAATAATATAGGTTAGATTGAAAAACATTTGTAATTTAATAGATTATTTAGAAAAAAAAATAGTAATTATAAGGTAAAGAACCAAATGTGAATGAAAATGAAATTAAATGGGGTGATTTGAAAATTTGAAGGGTTAGTGCGGTATTTGAAAAGAAAAAAAACACAAAAATGGTCATTGAAGCCAAACTTGTGGCATGTTTGGCACACATACCTCTCAACACAAAAAGGATGCTGAGAGTTTCCAAACACTGCCTTGAAAGATATTGTTTGGTGGTTAGATGGCCCTATACTCGCTACTTGAAGAGCATTAGGGGTTATCAGCTCGCTACACGAGCTGACATGTTTTTTTAATAACATTTAATATATGATTTATTACAATTATACCATGGAATAACTTTGAAATTAATAATAAATTCAATAAAAAAAATATTGTGAGATAGTTATGTTAAATTTATCTTTAACGACATCAAAGTAATTAAAAAAATTTGAAATAACTAAAAAGACAAAAAGCCCTTGAGTGATATCCATTATATTTATTTTATTTTATAGTTAAGTTAGTAATCTTACTATATAGTAAAAATAAAATGATTCATAGAACATCATATAATTTGTAAAAAATAATTGTATCATAGTAAAAAAATTATCTTATTTTCAATGTCTATTTAAATAAATATTTTTATTATTATGTTATTATAATATATACTATTCTGAGTCTTATTATATGTTAATTTTTTTACGAGAGTTATTTTTTTAATAAATATTATATTTTAAATTGATTTGTATTTATGAATTCAATATATATATATTACCTTTTTATTTTATATTTTATGTTGACTAATAAAAAATATTCTAGTAATGAATAATCAAAATTCAATAAATAAAATATAATTTTTTTAATATTTTATTCAATAAATAATAAATAGAAAATGAATATAATAAAAAATCTATATATAAAGTCCCATTGTTATCACTACTCCGTAATGTTTTCATCCGTGTGTGTCCTATTATTATTATTATTATTAGATGTTACTTTTTCTCTCTTATTTTTTTATTTTTAAATAAAATAAAAATTAATTAATTAATTAGAGAATAACATCATAATATAATATTAAAAAAATCAACGATGGGTTAAACACATAGACAATTCTAGTGAGGTTTCGTTAAGCGGCAACAATGACACACAAATAATAAGGTTTTTATTTGTTAATACCGAACATAAAACACAAATTTATAAAATATCATTAATTAATAATATTAATAAAAAACTAAAAGTGTGCCAAAATACGTGCAATGTTCATCATCTCATATTTTATTGTTAACCCACCATTTAAAATTTTTATTTTTTAATTTTATCTTTAAATATTATTTAAAATTTTAATGTGATTACATTATTTAAATTTATTGGCTAAGAACAAAATTAAAAGACAAGAGACCAAATAAAAAAAAATGTCACAAATAGATGGTATTTTCAAAATACACACAAAAAAGTTTAATCTAGACATTAAACTATACAAACTATACATATTTAGTCTCTTAATATCTTTTTAATTCAATCTTGGTATAAAAGTATATTTTTATTATTTTTAATTCTTGGTTTGAGAGAGAAAAGAAAAGAATGTCATTGGCTCTAATTTAAACCATCAAGACAGTCAATTTTTATGATAAATGATTTTATTTGATGAGAGAAATTCAACTTAAGTATTTTTTTTAACTTGAAAGTGCCTAAAAAACATATCTAAGTTAGGAAATATTTTTTTGTTTCTTGTGTTTGTAATTGTTTTGGGGGGTTTTCAAGGGTTTTAGTGGATTTATCAAGATTCATAGAGTGTTTTTTAGGTATGTGTTAGTTAAGAATGAATTCAAAAACAAGTTTTTAGATAAAAAAAAATATTCAACCCTGAAATATGAGTTAAGTCAGGTAATGCGATAACTGACTATTTTTAAAAAAAAAACATTTTCTTCCATCCCAATTACATTAAAAAAAAAAAAAAGCTTCATTAAAGCCTACCTTATAGGCTCATATACAAGTCATCCTAAATGGATCAAGCTTAGAGGTATCTGACACCTTTCTTTTTTTTTATATATAATTTTGACTAAAAAAACATGTTTTTTTAATATTTTTTAATTTTATTTAAATTAATACCCTATTTCTTTGATTTTTTATTTATTATTTTTTAAATAGTGATTATTTTTTAAAATATTTCATATGTAGTTAAGTTTTGAATAGATTTTTTCTAATTCATTTATAATTTTTTTATACTTTATATAATTGAACTTTATTTTTAAAATAAAAAAATATTTTTTGATAGTATTTCTAATAAGTGCAACCTTGCGATATATTTTTTTTACCATTTTATTTTATTTATGTTATTTCTACTATCATTTGATTAGATAAATTAAATTATTAAATATAATCAGGTAAATAAACCATGTTGTGATACCAAATGTCTTAATTCACATTCGCTTTTTGATTTTTTCATATATGTATTTAGTTATCATGAATGACTTTTTTTTTTCATTTGTTGATATAAATAGTTTTTAATTTATTTAATTAGATGTATGTATAAAATTTATTATTTACACTTGATATTTTTATGTGAAAAAAGCTTACATGGTAAAATTTTTATTGGAAAACTTTTTTTTGGCTCATGATGCAACATGGGTGAAGTAGCTATTGATTATTTATAATGTATATCAAACCTTTTTTTTTACATGTAAAAAAAATTAAAACCTTTGGGATTTTTTTGCAATGCTATTAAACCTGGATAAAAAGATAAATTTTGAAATATCTTAAGCTGAATATTTACTTAACGCGAGTTTATAATGAAACTATAAAGAAGTTAACTTAATGTGAATTAATTTATTTCATAAATTCATAGAAAACCTAGATGATTGGTTTTTATTTAAAAAAATTAAAATTAAATGATGAAATAAATATTAATAATAAAGCAAATAATAAAAAAGAATGTTGAGCCACATAAACTTTTTAAAATCATAATTGGGCTATTAATATGGAATTGTTATACGTTAAAAGATTACAAAATTTAATCCCCAACAAATCTAATGTCGAATGATGAATTGTTATTATTGTTATTATTCTTATCATTATAATTATCACTATCATTATCACTGCTATTAATAATAATTAATAACATCATTATTATTATTGTTATAAGTTTTGTTATCATGATTAATATCACTATCATTGTTGTTGTTATTATTATTATTATTATTATTATTATTGTCATTATTATTATTGTTGTTAATACAATTATTATTGTTCTTCTTCTTTTATTATTATTATTATTATCACAACTAATATTACCATTATTTTTATTTTTGTCACTATTATTTTACTTTTATAGTGATTACTACTACTACTATTATTATTATTGTTAGTAGTATTATTATTATTATAACTATTAATACTATTATTATCACCACTATTATTATTAGTAATAATAGCAGCAGCAGCAGTAGTTAGTATTATTAACAAGTATTACTACTATTAACATTATTATTATCATTTTATTAATGCTACTGCTATTATTACTATTACAATTATTATTATTATTAGTGTTATTAACATTATTACTATCTATTGCAATCACTATTATCATTCTCACTATAACAATTATTATTATTAATATTGCTATCATTATTACTGTCTAGCAACATTAATAAATATTTTTATTTTATTTTTATTATTATTATCACGCTTATTACTACTATCACTATAATTATTAATAACATAACCAGCACAACTATCATAATAAGCTATTACTATTACTATCATTAATATCACCACCACCACCATTATTATTA